ATATACTCATTAAGTCCAGCTTGTTAAAACCTTCTAAACCTTTCCTGATTTTTGTTTGTTTAATGGATTTTTTGGTAATTAAGACAAATGTGTTAATCATCTATTGTGATCCTGTATTTGTCTAACTTTTGAATTTTTGCTTTATGTATTTTAAGGCTCTTATATTTGTTTAATTTTACTTGTTTCCAGTTTTGGTAGACTGAATATTTGTAATCTTGTAATAACCCATTCTGTCCCTATTGATGTTTAGCATCTTTTTAAAAAATATTATCTTTCTTTTGTTTAGAATTTTGCTTTATGTCTTTTCTATCCCTGTGCCATTAACTGTTACATGCTTTTATGATTTAGATATTTGTTTTAGAAATACCTAGTATCTTAGCTGGGCCTTGTTTTAAAATTAAATCTGACAGTGAGCCTATGCTTTTGAGCAAGAACCTATCTCTAAATAAAATAAAAAGGGCTGGAGATATAATTCAGGGTTAGAGCACTTGCCTAGCATGTGGGAGGCCCTGGGTTTGATCCCTAACATCTCAAAAAATCCTTCAATCTGACAGTCACTTAATTGTTTATAAATGGGCCATATCCCAGGATCACACTGGTCCTTCTGGAGTTTTTGGCTCAGTCAAAATCTCACTTCAACACTGCACTGTTAAATCACATTGGATTTAAATGGAATTATTCTAATGTTTTAAGTGTGCTATCATTAGTAAGAGTATACTATTTAGTGGATTAAAACAAAATTAAATAGTATAGAAATATATTTTTGTGTATTTGTTATGGAATTATTTCTTTCTTGTATTAATGGGTTAATTTACAAACCTTCCTTTAAAACTTTAGTCCCAGAAATCCTGGATAGAAAGCACTTTGACCAAGAGGGAATGTGTATACATTATACCAAGTTCCAAGGATCCTCACAGGTAAGCATACCTTTGTTTCTTTTGGGATCGTCTAGGAATTTAGATATGAATTATATTGCTATTTATTTATTGAAAACAAAAATTATTAAATATTTGTAGTCACTGTTAATTTTTGTAGTTATTATTAATATTCTTTTGGGAATGGGAAAAGGAGATAGGATTAACAAGATATTGGAAGAGTTCTTAATGACATTTACAGCATAAAACTTCTTCCTCAAAGTGTTCCCCCATCTCCAAACTCAAAGATAGGTAGGTAACGCCTCTTTTTCTCTCTTAAACTTATTCATTCACTGATCTTGAGAATTTAAAACATGTTTGTACATCTACTTATTGGGCATCTACTGAATGCCCAGTACTATGGTTCATGCTGAAGAAATCAATATAGACCTATTAGTCACTTTTTGGGGGGCAAAGGGGTAGACATTGATGGGGAATGAACCCAAGGCTTCACATATGTGAGGCAAGTGTTCTACTAGTGATCTAGACCCCCAGCCTCTGTCACTTTTTTGTTTGACATTATATGGAAATAAATCAGTATTTATTGGAAAACCTTTTAAACCTATTATCAGAGACTGTGGGTATCTCTGATTGTCTTTTTGTTTTTTAAAATGGGTTTGATAATAGAAAAAAGTTGAAAGTAAAGGATATTAGCTATAATTCAAGAAAAGGTTGACTTTGTGATATATACATTAAGAAACATTTTTGCTAATTTTTTTCTGTTACCTAAAAATAGAAAAAGCTTAAAGGCAAATCAAAGATATGATTATTTCCTTACTTTATATAGTACCTCTCTTCTCAAGCATTTAGAAAAAAATTGACAAAGGCATTGACAGTATTTTTGCATTTTCTTTTTCTGTCTCTTGTCAAACCCTGTTTATCAGATTACTTTCTCTGCAACTTTTAATTTCATTAAGTATGTGAATGAAATCTTATGAAAAATAGCTAAAATGAGATAATTTTTATTAACTGTTAAACTCTTATAGTACAAGTTTTTGCCCATAATGAGTACTAGGTAAATCTTTGTTGAATAGAATTTCCAAACTAAATAAAGCCTTTCATTGTTTACATTACATAAGCCTGCCATTTGGATTGAACATTTTTCTTTATTTTAGCATTTAAGATCCTAATTTTGAATGAATTTTTTGCTTAAAATGAACACATTTCTTTTGAAAACTTGAGAAGCAAAAAGTTGGCGCTATGCTCAATTTCAGTACATTAAGACAGCTATTGTTAATAATAATTTGGTGGATTTATTTTTAGTTTTTCCTCAGCGCTTAGTTTTTGTTTTAAAATATTGCTCCATTCTGTCTATATAAAATGTATCTGGTTTTAAACATGTTAAATATTTTTATATTACAGATTTCATTAAAATGATAGTTAATGTTCTATTAGTGTATTTACCATAGTTTATGTTTATTTACCTATTTATATTACAAGTCATTTAAGTTGTTTTCAGTTTGTGGCCTTTATAGATTAACCTTAGGCCATGATTAAGGTTTTTGTAGATAAAACTATTTTGTGTGTGTTTAATGTCTCACTTTCCTTAGTTTATATAATGCCAAATACTTTCTTAAGGGATTAAAGCAATATATATTATTACTGGTAGTGAGTAGGAATGCCTGACTAAAGTAACATATTCTGTTGTCTTCAAGAACAGGTGATAAATAAAAAAATAGACTATCTTTTATTATTTTATTAAATTTTTTCCTGTTTCTCCCCTTACCGCACCTTTTTTTAAAGAGGGGATATCACTTTGTTGCCCAGACTGGCCTTGAAATTTTGTTTTTAATCAACAATAATTGTATGTTTTAAATGTGCACTTATTTGATTACTGTTAAGTATGTTCTTTAAATATCCTTCCATTTTGTATACCTTTATTATTTATTTATTTTTATGTGGTGCCGAGGATCGGACCCAGCACCTTGCCCATGCTAGGCGAGCACTCTACCACTGAGCTACAAACCCAGCCCCAATATCCTTCCATTTTAAAGTAAATTCTGTAAATATTTTGATTAACTCTTTAAGATCATTAGATAACATTAATGTCTTATTCAATCATTAGATTGTACAATTCTGATTTTTTTTTTACTGCTTTTAAAGATATGATTACATCACCAGGTCACATGGTTAGTAATTATAAAAATGGTATTAGAATATAGGTCTCCTTAGGTCAATCTGCCAGTTTTCAAATGAAACTTAAGAAGTTGTAATTTTGCTTAATTAAAAAATAGATTGTACTATCAGTAAGGAGTTTATTTTCTATAATTTATTTCACTTGCAGTACAAATAACAAAAACACTTGTCAGGTGTTAAAGAAAACCTCATGGCCAGGTGTGGTGGCACATGCCTGTAATCCCAGGTGCTTGGGAGGCTAAGGCAGTGGTTACAAGTTTGAGGCCAGCTTGGTTAAATTTAATAAGAAGACTCTGTCTCAAAATAAATAAATAGATAGATAGATAGATAGATAGATAAATGAATAAAGAAATAAATAAAAATACACACACACACACCCATATACATATATGGCTAGAACTGTAGCTCAGAGGTAGAGCACTCCTGGGTTCAATCCCCAGTAGCAGGAAAAACCCCCTGAAGCTGTAAGTATCTTCAGCTGAAATTATCCATGAGATGTAACTTTCAAACAGTTAGCTGGTCGATTCTTTCTATACTAGTAGGAATTTTAAATTAATTTTATATTACTAAGTAGTTCATGCACCTGATTCAAGGTTTGCAAGTTACCAAATTTTTTCAATCAAAATTCCCTTTCCACTACTGTGCTTTAGCTTTCTCCTTACCAAAATAATCTGGTGTCTGGCTGGGGATGTGGCTCAAGCGGTAGCGTGCTCGCCTGATATGCGTGGGGCGCTGGGTTTGATCCTCAGCACCACATAAAAATAAAATAAAGATGTTGTGTCCACCGGAAACTAAAAAAAATAATAATAATAATCTGGTGTCAATCCATTTCTTAAAATACTCTCCAGAAATAGATACAGTCTTTGCATGTCTTTGCAAATATTTATATATTCTCTTCCCTCCTTTAAGATATATACTGTTTAGCCTATTGTGTTTATTACTTGTCTGGAGACCACTACTTTGTTTTTAATTGTGATGCATTGTTATAATTTTATGTCTGAATCATTTGTTTTAGTAGTCCCTGATTGATGAACATTTTGGCTATTTTCAGTTTTTCTCTTTGGTATAAGGAAAAAAATGCTGCATTGTATTATGTTATATATGTCTTGTTTCATGCACAGGTCTTTTTTGATCCATGATCTTAGAACTGGCATTAGAGTGTGAAGAGGAAACTGTATCTTTTATTTTGATGAGTGTTGTCAAAGTTGCCTTCCATAGAGATGATATCAGTATACAACTCCCACCAGATAGATGCAACAGTTTTTCTATTTTCTTACTAAGACATTGTCCTCAAATATTGTTTTAAAATCTTTACTAATCAAATCTCTTCATATATATGCTTTTACTGTGAACCATGTACTTTTTCTTTTTGATATTAGATTTAAAAATTGATATGAGGAAATTATATATTAGAAAACTAGGCCTTTGCAAAATTGTTTTTCTCAGTTTGTCTTTAGACTTTATTAGTGGCAAATTTTTGCCATGTATGAATATGTTTTTGTGTATTTAAATCTGTCAGTGTTTTCTCTTATGCTTTGTAGATTTTATATCAAAACTGATTTCATTTAAAATAAGGAAGCTATGTGAATTTAAAATGTTAACTTACATACAAGTCAATGTACACATGATCTATGATATCTATTGAAAAACTAAATACGTTATTTACCTTTGTTTCATACTTTTGTGTGGGTTTATGTAGTTCAGTTTAAAATTAAAAAGTTTTCCATTGAGATTATGGGTTATTTATCTTTTTATGTTTTGTAGATGCCTTCCAGGATGTCAGATTTGTCAGCAACTTGTCAGGTAAGTTTAACATAATTGCACAAAATAAACAAAACTAATGTATTAGATATATGAGTTAGAATACAGGACAATAAAACTTGGATGCTATTGTATTTTAAGTATGTTTTATCCAGACTTAAGGTGAAGAATCAGGCACTGCGGTTTGAAACTCAGCGAAAGCTACCTGAACAGAGTTCTAAATTAGTTGAGTGTGAGTTAGTTGGGCAAAGAATGAAGGAAAGAGGTTCTGGGCAGAAAAAAACAGATCATGA